TTCATATAAACAATATAGTGTCATTTATTATAACTAAAAATGATGTTCGTTTTGTTAATACATGCAATGATGATGTGGTTAATGTGGTATGTATTTTCTGTTGGATTTAGTCCTTCGGCATAACGACCGTCTACAAGGTCCGTTAAAGTCGAGGGCATAAGCGTCTTTTTCTATTTTTCGTTTATTAAAACATTTTTAATTAACTTTTTTTAGTCAAGGGGTAAAATGAATATATTAAAACCTAAAGGGCCAAAACATAAAGTTACATACTATATATATATAGACTTGGGATCATGTGAGACCAATGATTTTTCGTGAGACCCGTAAGACCAATTCTCAACTCTTGGATTAGATCTACAATCTGTCAATCTAAACATTTATAAACGCCACGAGACTTCTCAATAATCACAAAATTGCCACCGTGCAACTTTATACCGTTAGATCATTAACTTATAAAGTCGATCAATGAACATAAATTGGTCTTACGGGTCTCACGAAAAACTCTTGGTTTCACCTGAACCCAGCCACCAACACCACTTCCCATTCTTCTAACTTACATACATACTACACATACAATGCGTACACACATTCTACATCGATGGTTCGAGGGAGGGATGATCAGAGCAGTGGGGGGATCTTTGATCGAGCAGTAGGGGATGTGGATCGTTGATCAGAGCAGTAATGGTATATGGTCGGGGAAGGTCATCACAGGGACCAAAGTTGCAGGTGAAGACGAATGGGAAAGGAGGAGAAGGTGACATGTTTGAAGATTGGGAGACATATGAGTTTTGCAAATTCACCGAAAGGTCACTAGACTTTGTACGTTCGTGGGAGTTTTCCCGGTAGAAAAACCGGCAACGACAAGAAGCAAAATGATTTTAATGTGTATTGGGCCCTCCAAGTTGTAATATATTCATTTTACCCCCTAGTTTAAAAAAGTTAATTAAAAGAAGTTTTAAAAATGGAAAATAGAAAAAGACCTTTATGTCGTAGACTTTAACGAACCTAATAGACGGTCGTTAGGCTGAAGGACCAAATCCAACAAAAAATGCATACCACAGGCACCAAAAACTTAATTCTTTTATGTACTTAATATTTCACTATTTTAACCACAAAAGTGGTGCCTGATTGGTTTGAGCTTGGCTCCAAATGTCAAAAGTACCAGAAGGTCTCAGGTTTAAATCCAAGTAGGAATAAAAATCCCTTTGTGGCTACGGAGGTTCAAATGTGGTGACTTCGGACTATCTGCAAAGCAAGTGGTTGTCGTGCGATTAGTCGGCTCGTATAACGGGTTGGATATCCAGGTTAATAAAAAAATATTTTACTATTTTTTATTAAAAAAATTAGAAGCTCATTTGGCTAACTTTGGACTGGGGTCTCCTATCGAGTACTAACCGATTTCCAAATATATATTTCATATGTGATGCCAATATAATGCATCTTGAATCTTGTTCTTGATATATTAGATGGTAAAATATTCAGTTTCCAAAGAATTATTATTTTATAGGTCGATAAATTCTTGAAGAGGAAATGTTCAGACTTAATTAATCGAGAAACTGGTTTTTTTTCTTAAGCCATGTATCTTGTTATGTTCTTACAATTCATATAAATTTGGAAAAAAGGTTTGTACTTTAAATTATTTTACCTAACTTATAATTTTATATAAGTTTTATTTTTTTAAATGTAAAAGATGTTTTGCTCCGTTAGCCTGTGGGCAAGTCCGGTCCGTTTATAGGGTGGGTATGGACAAGTTTATCAGAATGCTAAAACAGACTTGGATTTGCTGTATTAGAGATGTTGAACATGAAAATCAATTTAGATCTAGTTCAAGCCTGCAAATGATCACGTCTAGGAGAGATGTTGGAAGAATTTTTTTTGATTTTTATTCTCTCTTTAACCTATGAAAATCCATTTCCTTTCGGAGTTTCAAAACTTCTACTAACCTAACAAGAAACTAGTAGATTCAAATTGTTCATGTGGATACCATGACGGTTACGTGTTGCTGTTTCGTGACTCTGATACAACCTTTTGTCATGTTTGGAACTATAACGAAATGTACAATTTTTAGAACACCCAGTGTAACACGTTCCGTATGGATCTTTGGTATGATTACAATTCTTCTGCTATCCGTACAACTCATGTTACGCAACATTCCCCGTTCAACACGGAAGACTTCATTTGTTATCATGTCTAGTGTGGTCCCACCATGTCTCTACATGAACATCTTTATTTCATCTTTAATTCAATTTATAAATTCATTAAACCTAAACACTGCAGTTTAAAATTTGTATAATCCATTACCAAGTTGTTGGATGTAAAACCAAACCAATCTAAGGGGCTGTTCGGTTTTTTTTTGTTAAGACCTGTATAGATAAAGTTGTCTGTCTGTTAACAGATAATTTGTTGTTCGGTTGTTGTGTTGAATAAACAGTCCGAATGTCAGGAAAAACCATTTTACCCCAAGTCCTTTCTACTGGGGGAAAAAACATCACCCAAAAATCAACATGAACCTAATAAAAAAAAATGAAACATAAAATACCCATAAAGAATGAAAGCTTGAAAAGGGAATTAAAGAAGTTAATTTCCATAAAATTAAACTAACATCTTCCTATACATTAACATCATAGATGAGGAAATGGTTTTTTTTATAAAAACTGAGTAGAAGCAGTCAAAATCGGAAAAAGCTGAGAGAGACGGTGGGGAACGATGAAGTAGAAGCAGTCAAAATCGATGGAGTAGAAGTAGTCAAAATCGATGGAGTAGTCAAAATCATTGGAGCAAAAAATCGATATTTCATCTAAAACAATCAAAATACAAATGGAGCAGAAAATCGATAGTTCATCCAAAACAGTCAAAATACAGATGGAACAAAAAATCGATGAAGAAAACAACATACCTTGGTGTGGAAGCAGAAGCAGTCCTGGAGCAGAAGATCGATGAAGAAAATCGATGAGGACGATGAAGTAGAAGCAGTCCTGGAGCAGAAGATCGATGGAGTAGAAGCAATCTTGGAGCAGAAGATCGATGAAGAAAACGGAGTAGAAATAGTCCTGGAGCAGAAGAAGCAGCTGGAGCAACTAGGGTTCTTTGATTAATGGTGAGTGCTATTAGTTATAGAGAGGGGTAGATGGGGAAAGTAAATACGGTTAATTGGCTGAGTAGATAGGACAATGGATTTGTGGCTGGTCGATTCAGCTATTGTCTGAGCGATTAAGCTCTTACCGAACACATAGATATGACTGTGCGAATCAGTCATATCTGCTATACAGCTCATTAAGCTGTTACCGAACAGCCCCCAAGTAACATGGAATGGTTCGTTGAAATCATGCATCAAACAAAGAAGAGGATCGTATGATAGGAATTATAATAAGATATAAATCATGCGTTGACTTTTCTGTACACATTACCTGTATATTTTTTCCAGTTTTTGAAATATGTAAAATATTCGGTTTATAGTATACTAGTAATCATGCAATTTTTTTTTAACTTTAATCCAAACTTTAAGTACAACTTCTTAAAGCCCTACATTGAATTTATAAAACACACTAATAAACATGTTTAAATATTTGATAAGCACCAAGTTCTATGATACAATAAAATACTCCATAAATTTCCAAACTTTTTTAGTTGAAGAAAAGCTTTAATTTTCTTTCTCTATTTACAATAAAATTTTACATAACAATACATTGTACACGTACACACTTAGTATAACATAAAAGAAAACTATGAACATGAATTGCATCCTACTTCATAGTGGTTGTAGGTAGATATCGACAGAAGACCGAGTTCGAACGATATGACCAATTAATCAGTTCTTCAAGAACCAATAAAAAACTGATCAATTACATATTTATCATTTCATAATTATATCTGTATCTATCAATTAAATTAAAAAATGTTGATTATTTCAATTATTATTAATAACTTATATTAGTAAGTTAATTACCATTAGACGATAATAATATAATTGATATGTTCATAAAATATAATCTAAATTTAAGGAGCAACTTAACTGATAAGATATTAATTTTGTTTTTCAGATGTCAAAAACTTTGTCTAGCTGACAAACTTCATTTACATAAAATTAATTCGAGTTATGTGTAAGGGGTTGTTTGGCAATTGCTGAATGATTTGGTGCAGAATGATTAAAAGGCTATCATGATATAGTGTAAAATGAAATATAATTGTTCGGTAATTGTTCACAATGGAATAAGGGTGTTGAATGGTTAAAGGAGACCCACGATACAAAATCATTTAGAGGGTTTTAAAACCATTAAAATGCAGATTTTTTTTTATCAAACAAGATTCACCTCTTACCAATTCTAAGACTGACCTTTAATGAAACTATTAAAAGATAAACAAACAGTAATTAAATTAACATGAATACAAACAATTATTCAAATATAGCATGTAATTCCTAATTTTGTGTTTATATGTCTTGTTTGAATATCTCGATGGAGTTGACCCTTCTTCAAACAATAACGTGGCATATTTTACATATTTTCCACGAAAAATTCTCCTGAAAATATTTAGAAAAAAATCCAAATATCAAATGATTATATAATAATAAATATCTTCTGAAATCTTCACAAAATAAAAAAAATAGAAAATAATATCATTTATTGATTGAATTATTTATATATCTAAAATATTAAAAAGCAATGAACCAATGTGGTGGACCTTAATATTTGTCTAGGCCTTGTCGTCTTCCTAACAGTGGACCCGCAATTAAAAACCGACCTAAGCAAATGCATCAAATATAGACCGTCAGATTAAAACACGCACTCTTCATCTCATCCGTTGGTTCCTCCATGATCATCCGTCAGCTCACAGGTGGGTACCACGCACCTTCCCATCACCTTCCTCCATTCAGATACCAACACGTGTACGTCAAGCGCGTCGGCTGATGACCGCTTTGGATATAATCAATGGGTTGGTTCGGTAACGAACCTCAGGTTCGGATGAAGACCTATTCTGACCTATAAATACTCGTCTAGTTCTATATTCGAACCTCATCTGATTGCCCGAACCAAAAGTTCCGAACGAACATTGTGCTTTTAGATATTTTTTCACGCGATCAATTGAAGGTATAATTGCTGCAAATCTGCTTTACTGATTTTGAATCGATTGTTGATCTGTGATTCAAGAACTCTGTTTTGATGATTTTGTGCTTGTTGTTTGTTGCGTTTTGAGTGTTTGATTTGGACTGATCGACTTGGATAGTCATGGAAGTTTAGGTTTATAGTCATCTAAAAAATTTGTTTTCTAATGATCTCAAACTTAAAATAAAGAGATGTGATCTGTAAATCTGATGTTAATTTGTAAGATCTCTGATCATTTAACCGATCATGGAATTTTGCTTCACTTCAGAGGTTTTGTTTTAATTTTGATCGTTTAAATGAGAAAAAGGTTCAAGTTATACTATGATCTGTTAAATTTAGCTGTCTTTGATCACCGGTTTCAGAGAAATTGATTTCGTTTACTTTTGCTGACTGGTGATCTAGCTCTATTTTTCGTTCTTTTGATGTGACTGCGATCATATGTTTAATATTATGTGTGGAGATCCTTTGATTTCGGCTTTGTGGTAATATCTTACTGATCTGTAGAAGATTTGATTGGCTGATCTACTTCTGATCTTGAAAGTTTGGTGCTTTAAGTAAGGGTTTAAAAAAAGGGACCAGTAGTGGTTGCCGGTTGGCATGAGGTGATGTGTTAAGAGAAGTTCCATTATAATGAAGTATGAAGTTTGGTGATTTGTTTTATGAATGAAACGTTGTGATGCTCTATCTGTTTGCTGAAAGACCTTCTTGATCTATATACTTCATTATCCTTCCCCTTGTATCTTTTTCCATGCGACCTGCTTATCATATCTATGTATAAGACGAACAAGTATGAAGGTTTTAATTTGAAACCTACTAGGTTAGATGAGGAGCGAGCTAGCAAGATAGTTGTTGGATGTCAACATGATAACTGGTGTTCTTGGGAAATTTGGAATTTTTGTTTACTTGTAATGATATAGTTGAAGGTTGTTATGGTTTGCTTTAAGGGATGCATTTCTCTTAAAGGTACAGTCTCAGAACAAAATCAGGGCCATCTGAATTAAAATTGGTTTGATTTTTACGGAAATGATTGTTTAACTAATTGTGATTTTGTTCATGGCAGGTAGCTTTGATTCACTGCACTAGGTGCCAGCCAAGTGGCCCATTGGAAGTCGAGGATGACGTTAGTTTCAGGACATACATCCACACTCAATCCGAACGCTCCGCTCTTTGTCCCTGCTGCTGTCCGCCAAGTCGAGGATTTCTCCCCAGAATGGTGGGATCTGGTGACAACCTCCACCTGGTTTCATGACTATTGGCTTAGCCAGCAGCAGGGCGAGGGCGGTTTCTTTGGAAACACAGAGGATGACTTTGATTTCCCTGATGTTGCTGATCTGCTGCCTGATTCCATCGATACCGATGAAGAAACCTTAACAATGGAATCCCAGTATGAGCAGTTCCTCCTTTCATCAGAGATGGATAGGATAAACGCTTATTCGACCTCCACCTTGAAGCAAATGCCCACAAATGGTAAGTTGGTAAATATGCGTATATAATAGTAAGTCTATGTTTGATGAAGTAGCTGGAAAACTAGTTGTTAGCCGTTCAACTGTTCATGTTAATTGAAAAACTATTGGCTAGTCTTTTAGCTGAGAGGCTGATAAGCTTGTTGACAATATAATCTAAAGGTACATGTTAAAATATTGGAAAAATATAAATTACATAATTGGAAGCATCTTTGCAAACTTTTAAACTAGCTGAATATTTTGTAGTAAACAATGTTATTCGCGGATACTGACTTGGTTTTCATCGTGGTGATGTTCAGGTATGGAAATGGGGCCTGAGGGTCTGATAAGGAGCTTGAGCTTATCGAAATCAATGCAGCAAAGGGGTCCGAAGTCACCGGTGGAGATAGCTCGGTATTGGGAGAAACCAGCAAAAACAGTTAGCCCAAAGTCTCGTGCACAACGCATCCAGCAACCACGCTGAATGTGGTTAGTAAAGTCCAAGTGTTCCTCTGGTCTAGATTTAGGTTTCAGTTTGGTTGGTATAATTCAGTGTTAAAACAACCGGAGTAGTGTCTTTTGTTTCTTGTAATCTTGTGTACAGAGCAAGGTCCGAGTTGTCCCTTGTTCATATTCTGACATCCTTCATTTCAACTCATCAACTAGCCAGGGAAACTTGATGATAATTGTAAAAAAACAAAAATTTGAAGCAGCAGAAATTGATGCAACTTTTCTAGTGTGTGTGTGTATATATATATATATATAGGAATATTAACTTGTTGTTCATCAACTAAGCCTTTCGGCCCGATCTTATGTCCCGACTCACCCTCTGGTCGTTATGTTAATTACTAAACTTCTTGAAGAGATGAAATATAATCAAGGTATATCTTTTTGATCAGAGGTTTGAATCGATCATCAGAAGTAGAATTAGGATATATTTAGGAAAAATCAAACTTCCATCAATGATATATATATATATATATATATATATATAAAATCTGTTATCGTTCATGGTTAACATTATGTTTATGAGGATTGAAGACCATTGATTTCATCGTATTACGAAAAGCTCAAAAGTGGGTTTGAATGACGAAATGAACAAGCCATATGTTTTTCAAATTCTTTGCATTAAATACTTCTAATACGATATCTCAAATATTTAGATTAAAATATATTATATAAAAAATGAATCAATCAAAATATGTTGTGTTTATAATTTTTAAATTTGAATAATGTATATCTTTTGGATGCCGCCTCTAAAGTATCAAAATTAAGAGTTCAAAAATACGTTACATAAAATAAAATTAGGATTTCGAAAAACATAACTTGCCTTATCGATTTTGAAAAGGTTTTATTTGGGTTTGAGTTTCGATATTTTTTTGGATTTTGCAAGATTTTCTTTGAAGAATGCAAAGATAATACGTGGAACCATCGATTTGGGCTAACGATTTTCTTTTTAAGATATTGTGTCTAATATAATAACACCCGTTTGAATCATGTGGAACAAAACTTGATGAACTATCTATTCTACCCAGCAAATACGTAAAAAAGGTTTGGCCTTGCTAATTGCTACAACAAACCCTATGTAATTTTGAATTTTGAGAATGGAATTTATGGATTTTTTTTATTAACCTGGATATCCAACTCGCTATGCGAGCTGACTAATCTCAGGACGACCATCTGCTTTGCAGATAGTCCGGAGTCACTGCATTTGAACCTCTATGGCCACAAGGGGATATTTATTCCTCATTGGATTTGAACATGTGATCTCCTGATACTTTTGACTTTTGAAGTCGAGCTTAAACCAATCAGGTACCACCATTGAAGTTGAATTTATGGATTTACCAATCACCATTCATATTTTATGTTTTTATTTGCATATCTAATCTAACCGTTAATAAATATTAAGAAATATAATTGTCATTTATGGTTGTGTTTGTTCAAGGTAAATTTTTTTCATATCTATGCTTGAATAGCAAATACATATACGTTACCATTAACTATATGTATTTGCTGTCAAAGACCTTCCAGCCTAGTGGTAAAGGCTTGGGCATGACATAGTTATGAACCCGAGTTCGAGCCCTGTGAGGGAAGTGTAGACGATATTTAAGTGGGGCTATGTTTAGCCTCCAAATTTGCCGGGGATTAGTCGGGCTTTGGCCCGGACACCCTTACTAAAAAAAAAAAAAAAAAAAAAACTATATGTATTTGCTATTTATATGTTACCATTAACTATATGTATTTGCTATTTATATGTCTTACAGGTCTCACGAAAAACCTTTGGTCTCACATGATCCCAAGTCTAAATATATATGTATATATGTGAACCTGAACCTCAACCTGAACCTCTGGACGTGGCATCTTGAAGATCCAATCTGATGGAAGGTGGCTAGGAAGCAGTTATGAGTAGGGGTGCTCATAGGTTGAGTTGGTCGGATTGAAGACATTTGAACAATCCAACCCAATGTTTGCAATTTGAAAAATATTAACCCAACCCAACTCAAACCAAAATGCAACTCAACCCAACCCAAACCGTATGGGTTCGTCGGGTTAATACTTTGGTACATTAAAATATATTATTCTAACATTGAATACGTTGTTTCTCTACTTATAATTTCATTTTCATCATCAACCATTTAATACAACATATTGATGCTTCTTACGTATATCACATTCAGTTAATTTTCTCAATTTACATATATATGTCCGCAGTTACTGAACATATGTACGAATGAATTATATAGAGATGTGAATAGATTGAAAATATGTGTATATGAAAAGCGTACATGATAGTGTAACTGCCTAATGTATATATTAATATAAATTCAACAATCATATTGAATCAAAGAAATAAAAGGATATTGAGTTCATCGGATTGGATTGAGTTCAAATAATAGTAACCCAATATCAACTCAATACCTACAGTTTGAAAATTTTTACAACTCGATTAGATATCGGGTTGCTTCAGGTTGAATTATTTCGTGTGGGTTGGGTTGGGTTGATCGAGTTTTTGAACACCCTAGTTATGAGGATGTTTCTCAATCCCTACAATGAGCCAAATCTTCAAAGAAATTGCAACTCTTACCTATTTGTACAAATATATAATATCACTCTAGAACCGTTATGCTACGCTTGAGGTTAGAGTTTACAAGAAGTTATGTATATAAAGTTCCACTCTGTTGCTTTTCCTTGTTCTTTAATTAAAATTTTGTGATTGTAGTTTTGTAAATAGCAGTGTCTAAAATAGAAATTGATTTGTGTTCTAGAAACTTCAAAATAGAACTTTTGTTGTTTGTCGATTAAGGAGTCGTAATATTTTATTGGGTAGGAGATAAAAGTAGATAATTTGAAACCGAGAACCTTTAGTTTATCTGATCATTCACGCAAAGTCCAACTATACAGTGCTTTTTTACTATTGGCAAAATGGATAAAAGCAATAGACACTATCATAGTTTTTCAATTGTGTGGATACATATATCTGTTGACTACTTATTTACATTTAGATAATCAAATCAATCACATGATTTTAAACTCATCCTCAACAAATATCGATTACTTAAACAAACACCTCAGAACATGATCATGTTTGTTCTCGATCATCGAAGAATCAAGTGAAGAAGGACGGTGGTTGAGTGTCTTGATCTGGTCCTTGGTATTGATAGAAGACTTCATCTTCGTCAAATCGTCAAGTGAAACTCCTGATTTCTTGATATTCGCTAGAAAAACCTGTGGAACAGTTGCATCTGTAACTTTTTGTGTCTGTCGAGGATAAAGGAAATCAGTTGGAAAGAAGTTGTACTGAAGACCTGCCATCGGTGATGTCGTCCCGATTATTGTTTCAAAAGCAAGAAATAAAGAAGTTAAGAGTTTGGGGTCCAATTGAAGTGCATTTATAGACCTCAAAACTTAGATTCAAAGTAACACAACTTTTTTTGTTGACTATTTAGAAGCTCCATAGTTGACCCTCTAAGATACATAAAGTCAAAGAAAGAAAAGTCAAACAAGACATATTTGGGGGATATGCTCGGAGATGGTAAAGATTCGGGAAATCACATTCGATGATGAAATTGTGTCCGTTTTTTATCAAAAAACTAAATCAAACTGTTGTATATCAGTTTTGTCTCGGATAAAACTTTAAGTAGAAGGAAACCAAATTGAACCAAGGATCGTTTTAGTGAAACTGAAGAACTGATCTGGTTTACGACCTATTTTTTATTTACTGATTAATTATTACACGACTTTGTTTGACGTTGTAATTTTTTTGTTTAACCTGGATATCCAACCCGCTATACGAGCCGACTAATCCTAGTACGACCACCTGCTTTGCAGATAGCCCGGAGTCACCGCATTTGAACCTCCGTGGCCACAAGGGGATTTTTATTTCTCATTGGATTTGAACCTGTGACTTCCTGAAACTTTTAACATTTAGAGCCAAACTCAAACCAATCAAACATCAACCTTATGGTTTGACATTGTAAAATTATGCACTCTATTGATTATGCATTATATAATCGTAGAATTCAAACTCAATGCATCCATATTATTTTAAATAAAGTATACTTGTTATTACCGTAAAATATTATATAGTTAAAAATCACATATTTATGATTATTAAAATAATAATAAAGTATTTAAACACGTGTAATGTGTGGCACTCTTTTAATGTTCGGCGAATATTATTTTCCACAAAATTCGGAATATTCTTTCCCAAATTCGTTGGAATGTTTATATTGTTTCAGAAAAATACATTTAATGTCTAATTTAACGAATGATTTAGTAAAAATTATGGGTGGTTTACCAAATACTTATCTGGTAAGTGTTTATCAATAAAATTTAACACTATTATATTTTGTCAGTTGCTGAATGGTTTTGTACATAATGGTAAGTGGTCAGAATGGTTAAGAGGGTCAGAATGGTTAAGTGCTGAATAAAATATGGTTGTTTGGTAAATATTCACTGAATGACAACAAATTACCATTTTAACCCTCTTCTCATTGCCTCTACTCTTTCCAAATATCAGACACAACTCATCATAATAAGGATACCAAAATCGATTCAACAGATACCAAAATGATACCAAAATGGCTTGATTCAACAGATACCAAAATGGCTTGATTCAACAGATATCAAAATGATTAGCTCATAACTTGAATCCACCAATGATCAAATCAATTAGCTCATTCAAACAGCCCTAAGTTCATCGACATTGTTACTGCAGAGAGAAGGAAAAAGGAGACATAAGGGAAATACCTGAAATCGAGTGGGAGACGATGTAGAAGACAACAGAGACGATGGAGAAGACGTTGGAGAACATGATCGAGTGGGATGAGGAACGAGGATCTTGCGTGGGAGGAGAGAGCGGCGGCGACAATCGTGGGGGGGGGAGACGGCCGGCGAATGGCTGACCGACGATGGGAGGGGGGGAAGACGGCGACTGGAACCGACGATGG